CAAAAAAGTAGCAAGTTGTTTCTTTCCCTCAGCGAGTCAAGCGAGAGACCTCTTATCCAAAATGTTAGTGATCGATGCCTCTAAGCGCATATCTGTGGACGAGGCCCTGCAGCACCCCTACATCAACGTTTGGTACGACCCAGCTGAAGTGGAAGCAGTAGGTGTCACTGCACAATACACGCATTATTATTATTAAAAATTAGGATGCTTATTGAGGCATTTTGTTGTCCTTAGCCACCACCCAAGGTCCTTGACAAACAGCTGGATGAGAGGGAGCACACCGTGGAGGAGTGGAAAGGTGCGATAAGAGTTTTCGTGATCCCTTTCCACGGTCAGGCTCAGACAGAACAATAGGTGTCAAACACAATTAACCCTTTTAAACATCATTTCTGAAATGTGTGTATCAATGCATGTTCAGTAGAACCTTCAAAATCAAACACAAACCATCCAGTGGTGATGGTTAATTAATTTCCCCATGGGAATGATGTTAAGTGAAGGAATTCAATCCAGGCTCAAACTGTCGTCATCATGAATTCTTTGTGTGGCATTTTAACATTGTTAACTGCCACACTAATATAAATATGTTCCCAAATGTACCAACAACCATTCATGTCGACAACTTTGGAGGGTTTTAGCCTTTAATAAAACCTCAAATGGATGTTCTTGGAATTTTGCTGGAAACTGGAGTACCCACAAGAGGTAGAACATTCAAATTCCATATGGGATTTGAACCCAGAACCTCAGAACTGTGAGACAGCCATGCTCACCACTCATTCAATGTGTTAAACCTGTGCACCTTTTTAAATGTATGGCTCATGTTGTTCTAAGCAGCTAAGTCATACTTTTCTCATTTGACATCGCTAGTTTGTTAAACTCTCATTTGTATCTGCGTCGTCCATTTTTCTGAACATCATAAATGGACCTGAAATCCCGTAAAGGTTTTCAATGTCGTCTGTGAGGGGCTAGTGATGCACAAGCGAGACTTTTCATCTAAGCTTCCAAGATGAGCTCATTCTAAACTCTACCAGGTGATAATGACTCTCCACGCATTTTAGAAGGGTCAGTCTAGCACACGCACCGTCCAAATTAGAAACATGATGCTGTTTTGGAGCGTGCAGAATGCAAAACACACTGGGGTGGACGGAAAGAGAGGCAGCGGTCCAGGTGGTATCAAGTACTAATCACTTCTTTCTGTCTGCTTGGCCGTACGTAGGGCTGATCTATAAGGAAGTGAGTGAGTGGGAGGAGTGGTCAAAAAATGGAGTGATCCGAGGGCAGCCGTCTCCTCTAGGTGAGTCATCTTTGTAACTTGAGGTCAAAACGACTCTGTCATTACAGTACTTTTTTTTTTTTTTTTGTGGTGCTGTGGCATTTATTTGGATTACAGTGAACCTTCCTCAATATATTTGCACTTTGCTCTTCACAGATGTGCCTATTTTTCTTTGAAACTGTATTCTCTACTATTTGCTCAAAAGGGGAGGGGGAAGGATTGAGTACCCATAAAGACAAGCTAAAAGCTTTTTTTTTTCAAACTTGTGGGCGCTTCTGTATGTGACATATGGCATTCTGTGCCCACAGCGCAATCAAGTATGTGTGGCTTATCATAACCCTCTTTGTCAACACTTGTCAAAAGTCAATGCAGCTCTGCTTACTTTTTGGCTTGACATCACAGCAGGAGTCTGGTGCTTATGTATCATTGTGCTGTTGCTGTCAACGAATTGTGTGCAGCCATTGAAGAATCACTTCCCCATAATATAAGTGTTTCAGAAAATGGATGGATGGATCTGCTCTTTAATATTGGACTGGGAACTTTTGGTACTACTATTTTGATTAGCAGGAGAGTTCAAAGGAGTAGTTATAGTATAAAAAACAGCATGTATGAATTAAGTATACCAGGAAATGTCTATTGAAGGGTGGTGTTTATTTTAAAAGAATGAGTTCAGCAAACATTACATTTAAATTTTTATGGGTTTTCACAGTGCAGTATGTAATGCCCTTGCATGTAGGAAAGGCGAGTCACAGTTGCTGATACAATTTTTAGTTGTTATAAACCTTGAAGCGACTGATAATTGAACACAAGTGCTGCAGTAACACATGCAGACAGACATACCCAAGGCCCATTTTCTTGATTCCCTACAAACGAGTAGGACTGCGGTTTACTGACGAGTTGTGACCATCTTCTTTGTGTTTATTGGATGTCTGAGTTGCATTCCCCCCTGGTGGTCAAGGCATGCCATGTACTGCACTTCACTTTCCCCGTGTAACTTGGACCTGCACCGACTGTGGTCCAGTCATCCCACAACCTTGTATACTTGAACGAAACCTATGCGTTGACGTGTTTTTCGCAGCACAGGTGCAGCAGTGATTGACGGCCCCCCTCAACCTTCCTCCTCGTCATCCTCCTCATCATCAGCCAACGATGTGTCATCCATGTCCACGGAGCCCACTGACCCTAGCAGCGACCCCACGGTCACCTCGGAAACAGACAGCAGCCTGGATAGCCACACCTCCCTTGGTGCTCTGGCGTGTTGCAGATAACAAACACACACACACTAACACACATACACACATTTTCTCAAGCATAACCTTTCATCATTGCACCTTATACAGTGTTTGAGATGGGAGGGTTTATAGGCCAATGGAAGTTCTCATGTTAGCTTGTCGAGCTGCGATTTCAATGTACAGTTTGGTGTTATTGCCCGATACTACTGTAAATGATTGTGGTTTTAAATTGTATCATCATTATTATTATTATTGTATTTTTGCTGCAAAGAATCAAGAGTATGTTTTGATGTGAACGTTACGTTTGTTATGAAAGGGCGGCGTTGGAATTTCGGCATTGACGTTTTTTAGCTCCAGCGACACAGTGGGATCGCACACTGCGAGCACTGCACTGTTATTTTTTAATATATTCTTCAAATGCTGACACAGCATTTTGTATTGTTTTTTTTTTTCTTGAAGCGGTGGTGGTGGGGCGGGGGCATTTGAATGAATCCACTATTAGTAAAGGACATTTTTTCAATGGGGAAGTTAATGCCTACTTGCTTTTTCTCATCTTAGAGAGTTTTCCGTCATCTTATCACATAACGTAATTTGTCAACGTTTTTCTTTTCCCCTTGCATTGATTTTCGTTTTTTCCGGAGCATGCTGTAAACGTATTTGCGTATTCAACTCTAATTTTTCAGTTAAAGAACAGGGTGAATGTAAGTCTGATCAACACAGGCCAACTCACTGGCTCCAAAATTAATGCGTAGTTATTAATTGAATCATTTTTGGAATGATGTCTGGTATTTAATATATATATTATTTAAGTGCCCTTACTAAGTTCACTGATGTTTTTTTTTTTAAGTGCTCTCTGTGGCAGGGTTGCGTTCTACCTCTCAGACACACACACACACACACACTCAGACACACACGTTTTTGACGCTACAGTATGCATATCACACGAACAAACAAAAATTGACTTTTGTTCTGTATATATTATTTATTTATTTATTCCAAGTGCAAATGCATTTGTTGTATGTAATGTACATGTAGCTCAAAAGTACTGTTTCTAATGCATTTTGTTTCCTATAGCTCATTGCGTTGTTTTCTGTGCAATACGATAGGTAGGTTAGAGTAGTCGATGGGATGTACATGATACTGTAGATGTACTTTATGTGTGGGAGTTAGCAAACAAGTCATTTTTAAGGCCTCCACATTCGTTCCCTTTCTTGTGTGTTTGATGACTCAAGTTTACCAGTGTGTTACGTCTTTATAATGATCATGTTCGGGCACTCCATGCAGTAACTTCACTTGCTCCCAGAATGTATTTGGGGGATTGTGATGCATATCCTCACATGTTCTGGGGCTATATCTTCAATGACTGTTTTGGCTGCCTCTTTTTTTGAGTGATTTCCTCTCCTGAACCTACTCAAATATAAAGTACTCTTCACACATTGAATGAAGCGCAGGAACAAGAAAGTCATTCAGCATTATTGGGAGGGTAAGTCGGTATTCTGATGGGCTGTAAAGCGCTGGCGACAAAATATTCAACCTGAGGTTTTTTTTGAATGGACAATTGTATGGCACGGTCTGCATACAATACATGATGAAAAGAGAAAACTGTCCACCTTCAACTCAAGTCAATAAAAGAGTTGAATTTGAACAAGTGTCCTTGTTCATTTTTTAATCATTTTGGTGAGAAAAAAGGTGTGCACATGCCTCTCAGTTTATAGGTTGTGCGTATGTGGGGTCTGGCGTTCATGTGTGGAATTAGCGTGTTCTCCATGTGCGTGTGTGACTTTTCTCCAGCCACTTCCCACATTCCAAAAACATGCAGTTTGGGTTCATTGAAGACTAAATTGTCAATAGGTGTGAAGGGTAGCTCGTTCTCTTGGATGGCAACCAGTTCATCATGCCTATTGCCCAAAGTCAGCTGCGATAGGCTAAAGCTCCCGTCAGCCTGATTAGGACAAGCGGCATAGAAAATGGATATCATGCCTATTGCCCAAAGTCAGCTGCGATAGGCTCAAGCTCCCATCAGCCTGATTGTTTTCTACAAGCGGCATAGAAAATGGACGGATGGATGTGTGTGAATGGTTAAGGATATCTGTCATGAATAAAGCTAATTCTTATTGTTTTTATGGTGATCTCCAGGGCTGGACTGGCCATGTGGCAGATGCTTGGTGGGCCGGCATCCTTTGGGACCGATGTGCTGCTATTTAATTATTTTCCTCTATTTTTTTTTTTTCCCCAGACGATCGGCCCGCAATTTATAGAGGAAGCAGCCCAGGGATCCATTTCCAATATAGATGGTAAAACTGAACCCATCGATATGAGTGGCAGAGCTATGTGGTAGCCAGGGATGATCAGGAGGAATGTCTGAATGCAAATTGTATAAGAATCTGTCTTTAGAATTGACCCGGTGTCAATTATATCCATTATTTTCACACCATAGCAAGCAAACAACACGACTGAGAATTTGTTGTTTGTCAAACCATCCACAGTCATTGTGCGTACATTTCTGCTTGCAGGTCGGTCTGAGCCAAAATGCCAGGACCAATTTTTTTGTGCCAGTCCAGCCCTGGTGCTCTCCCAAAAGGGAAGACACTGTATAAGTTATGCAACAATGCTTAAAAAAAAAAAAAGAATTGAATTGTCCAGAGGTAATACATTTTTGGCACCCTAATATAGTTGGTCACTGTAGGCAAACGGCACTGTGCGAAAGCCACTCATAGCTTTGTTTTAACAGTAAATATAAGGATGGATCCAAGTGACAGATTTCAAAGAAGTAGTTCCACAAAAACAGGCCGAGCATCGGGCAAGAAAGACCCCATAACATTTTGGTGAGACTCTGGATAAAAGTGCAGATTTGACACGTTGGCACCGATAGAACTGTCAACCATCCGCAATCATAATAGCACCGCCTGTCTGTTTTTGTCATGTTAACCAGGAATTTGCCTCCTAACTATGCAAAATGTTTGGCCTTGGCAAAGCTCTAAGCCGTATGAATTGACACTCGACTTCTATATAGCAATTGATGAGCGTCGAGAAACTGCTTTTCAAGGTGTTGACCTTGGCTAAAACCAGATGATGATGATAAATTGTTCCGGTCTAGTTGGGCTTTGTTGTCAAGTCTTCTAGAGTTTTAAAGAAGTCTTCCATCTCCCTTTGGAGTAGCACGTTGCGGTTCTCTGCATCTTGGCGTGCGCGTTCCGAGTTCCTGAATCGGATCTCCAACATGTCGAACCGCTTTCTCTCATGGTCGAGCTCCTCCTCAAGTTTGTTTATTTGGGCCTGGTGCTTACGGCAGTTCTCCTCCAACCTTAAATAGGAGACGAATGCGAGATTGTTTAGCCGTAATGGGCAATCGCAGATTAAGATCAGGAAATGAAGGTCATCTTACTTGCGAGCGCTGCATTCAAAGGTGATTCTCTGTGTCTTCAGTTCTTCTTGTAACTCTAATACTATGTTTGTTAGAACGTCATTCTGAGCAGTACTTGGCTCATGATCTGGAGGTGATGTACCGTCACGCACTGTGTTTTGGGCGTCTTCCGGCTCAGCCAGTGAGATATCAAAAGCAGTCCAGATTAAAGAGGTTTGAGCCGGTAAGCTTAGTGTGGAGGGAGCGACATTATCATAGGCGGACAATCGATGCGACTGGTGAAGGGCTCTCTGAGAGGGCGGCGCCCAAGAGGCGTCCTTCTCGGCGTCTCTCGCTATGGTCTCTTTCAGCGACAGGGTCGAATCCTTCAGCGATGGAGCAGAGTCTTTTAGTTTTGTGCCAGATGAGGTGGTGCGCCTGTGTGCTCGGAGGGACGACAGGCCATTCATCAACCAGTTACCAGCACCTGTTGCTGACACGTCCCCCGCTGATCCCCCGATGTTTCCCCTCGGCCCCACGGAACTGCCCTTAAAAGAGCACTTCCATGCAGAGAGGACTCTGGCCTGCTTAGCGGGGCTAGCGCTGGCCTCTTCTTTGTGATTTGGGTGACCGACCCCATTCTCCTCTGCCTTACTCTTCACTAGAACACTTTCATCGGGCTCAGAGGTAGTGATGGATGGTGTAAGCTTATTGTCCTTCGAGGGTGTACAAGGTTGAGGAGTTTTTTGAGGTATTTCCGCACCTGTGTTAGATTCCACTGGATATTCGGCGGGCTCTTGTTTAAGCCATTCCACTTTGCCTCTATGGATGGAATCATTTTGATGCAGCAAAGAATTCTCGATCATAGTATCAGTGTTTTCCAGCTGGTAAAGTCTGGCATTTTCACTGATCAGCACAGTCATCAGCTGTTGCACCTGAGAACTTGCTGTTTTCGGTTAAAAAGGAGTTAGCATTAGCGTGAGAGAATTGACGTGGATGTTTGGATTTTACTGTTGCGGCACTGTCACCAACCCTCCATCATGGTAACGGGATCCTCCACTCTGGGTCGAAGCACGTTTGGGCCGAATACAGTGGCGAGGTTCTGGACGTTCATCTTATTGGCATCGGAATGAGACTGGACTTCATCGAGAAACCTGAGCACGCAGGAGGGAACCAGAGACTCATGCGGCATTTTGAAATTTGACATTGAACAGTGTGCCTGAAATTCTGACTCATGATGAGAAGCTGAGTCATGCGACTGACAGGCGTGTGGGCCCAGCGCAGACGTGTTGTAATGCACATCCACAATTGATGTACTGCCGCTTCCACAGACGATGTGCGCGCGGGCGTGATGAATGACACATTTCTCACATCAGATAGTGAATTATGAATGACGGCGACACACGCAGCGTCACCATATGACTTACCGACAGATGTATTCAAGAAGGTTGTGGTTGACCTTGGGAAGTGATTTCACCTGCTTGCCAAGCGCTATGATACCCTTGGAAAAAAAGAAGTGTTATTAATATGTACAGTGGTGACTTCCATCCATCCATCCATATTCCGATCCGCTTATCCTCACAAGAGTCGCAGGTGGTGCTGGAGCCTATCCCAGCCGTCTTCGGGCAGTAGGCAGGGGACACCCTGAACCGGTTGCCAGCCAATCGCAGGGCACACAGAGACGAACAACCATTCGCGCTCACACTCACACCTAGGGACAATTTGGAGTGTTCAATCAGCCTGCCATGCATGTTTTTGGAATGTGGGAGGAAACCGGAGTACCTGGAGAAAACCCACACAGGCCTGGGGAGAACATGCAAACTCCACACAGGGAGGCCGAAGCTGGACTTGAACCCGGTACCTCTGCACTGTGAGGTCGACGCACTAAGCACTAAGCCGCCCCAGTGGTAACTTGATTTTCAGTTTTAGAGTTACAACCTTCGATCGGTTGCTTTAGTCGAACATTTTGAGTTTCAGACGAGACTCATATCTGCTTGTATTCGATTGAACCCCCCAACCTCAGAACTGTGAGGGGTACTTGCTAACTGCTTATCCACCGTGCAATGGGGACATTGTAAGTCAATGCAGCACTGTCCTGTATGTATGAGTCACATGGCTCATTGATTGATGTATTTATCTCCCAATTTATTGATTTACCATTTCTCTGTCCTTGTTGAGTAGCAATGCACAAGAGAGAAACTGTGCATACTTGGTGAAAGGGATGACCGGCTCCGGCAGCTCCCGTAAATAAAGCTTCAGGAGTGACGCCACCGTGTGGACGTCAGTGCTACTGAAAGGCGCAGAGAGTAGTGAGTCAACACAGGTTCATGGCAGATGCTGTGTTCAGTCCCGTTGACTCACCTGTCAAACAACAGACTCTCACCACGGTCAAACGCATCCTGCAGTTCTCTAACATGACTGGTCTGGCCTGGGGCCCTGAAAAGGCCTTCTTCTCGAAGGCCGTGGTCACGTATGAAGCACGCGCACCGCTCAACCAGCGCCGGCACCCTTCGTTGCGGACCACACTGTGCCTCATTAAGCATAGTCTCCTCTAAGTGCTGGCCGAAGATACCTACAGCAGCATATCAAAGGCTCTTGAGAGAATACATTTTCTTAAGTATATTTGGACACGATTGGAAGGTGGAGCATCTCTTTTAAAAAATGACTCTCGATTTTGTGTATGCTTATGACCTCTGAGTGGAGATGACTGTGCGGAGATACAAGTTGGGAAGGAATAGACAATTACTTTTGAAATCTCACCTCCTCCAAGTGGGGCCCATATTGCTCTGTGTATCGCTCTGACCCATTCCTCCAAGTCGCTCTCGGAGTTAGCCATCAGCAAGAACGATTCATGGTTGCGATCGCGTTCTGCATCACCTCCTGAAAATATAAATCATAGAATATCATTTTTAAATATAGTGATGATACCGTGATTAGCTCCAGCTTCCCTGTAGTACACTGCAAAATTGCATCACTGCAGTGTCTCGTCATTCCTCTTAGTCACCCCTGGACAGCCTCTGGTCTGACATTTTAGTTTGACATTTTGATACAGTAACCTTTAATGACATTGAAGTATATTTTGGGTGGTAGCTAGCTAGCTAGCTAGCTAGATGTATGTATGTATGTTGTGTTTGTATACTCATAGTGCAGTTGTTCAGACTCAAACCAGACAATGTTTCTCTAACTGAACAAGCAAAATAGCAGCAAAATTAACAATTATAATTACCAACGCTTTATCATACATTTCGACGAGTCCGCCAACCCACCTGGAACAATTTCAAATAAATGACGGCCTGAATCATCTTGATTGGTGGTCAGCTCATTCACCTGGGTGCCTTTGAGATGAATGCAACCCTGTTTAAAAAATGGGGAGAAGGAACGCACTGGTATGACAAATGCAAGGTTGACGGATTTTATACTCGTGATATTCAAGAGCCAATCAAGATTTTTTCACTAGGCTATGTTATCAATTATTGAGTTGCGACAAAGAAATGTCGAAGTCCCTGCAGCAGAGGGAACAAGTAGTTTTAAGAGAGAGCTGCTCGATATCTTCAAATCAAGCCATCACCACTTCCTGAGTCAGGACTCCTGAAACACCTGAGCTACAATTGACTTTCCTTAGAAGCAAGGCGCCATAAGAACAAAAAAAAATCCCTACAAATTTTGTGTATATAGGGACTCAAAAAGAAAAACGACTTTCCAGGTGATAAACGCTTGCATATTACCTGTTCCTTGGTTTCATTCTGGTCTTTGTAGAAATACAAAATGTCAGCCTTGAGGACAAACCACCGTAGTTGCCAGTTTTTCATGATAATGCGCCGTCGCTTCAGCCAGCCTGCCTTCAGCACTTTCTCCCGGTCAAGAGGAGAGCAAGGCCTGGAGACCCCAGACAAATCTCCTAAGACCATGCTCTTAGAACGTGCTGTTTTAGGATTAAAACCACACAAGAAAATTGAAGTACTCGTCAAGACATATTCATTACATAATCACCAAAAGAGAAAGATGGTCATATTTTTTTTTCCCCAAACAGCAATCTTTTGCATTTGAGGCATATATAATAACCACAACACTCAGGAAACTAGTGCAGCACCAGCAGAGATATCACCATGAAATTTTGGATTAATGTTCTTCCACATAGGGCACTGGTTTCACACGGGACCAACAGGCATTGCACCTGGAGGGGATGCAGGTGTTGCAACTCCCACACTCCACCCAATGAAAGATTTCAACCCGCATCACCTCCCTGTAGCAGCTACAATAACACAATGACTCACCTGCAGCCATATTTATCTCAAAAGGAATTATTTCAAATATCATTAACATATAAAGAAGGGAGGGAGGTCATCGAGAGATGAGAGATTGCATCACCTTTCACCATCATGTCAACTGTCCGTGAATTTGTCACATAAGGTAGAGTGAATAATCTATCAATGAAAATAGTGACACTATGTACAGAAAAAAGAAATAAATCTTACCTCGGCGAACCTGTTTTATCTTGGGGCTCAGCATGGTTGCGGGTGACATCCGTGTGTCCAGACACAGTCATGCAGATGCCTCGCCCTTTTACATCCTTTTCCAGCATCTCACTCCCTAGCATTCTCTCTAGCACTTGGACCGTTTCTGTATGATGCCAGGCACACTTACAAGCACTTAACCCCTCACTCTCCTATTCCCCCAATCTCTATTCCCACTGTTGCACAGGCTGTTCTTGGGTGCCTGGAGCACCGCCTACCATCCCTCCCTCCCTCCTTTGACGATACATAAATTCACTTTGGTCACTAATGTATTCTCAGTGACTCCCAGCAATTACTCGACAAGTCTCCATGATTGTGCCTCATCTCTCTGTTCTTCGCAACAGGATATATTACAGCCTTGGAAAAAATCTTGTCGACGTAAATGTCCGACATCCTCTTGTCTCTCTGCCTCAGGAAGTAAGGCAAATTGATAGAGAAGTGAAAATTGCTGATTTTTCTATGCACGTACCGCATGTTTCTTCATCTGATGTTAATGTAAGAATTGTGAGAACTGAAACAGAACCTTTCCAAACATTCAAAATGTAACTATCATAGAAGTAAGTCAAGAAAAAAAAATTCTCAGGTCACACCTATTTTTTTAAACACCTTTTATCGACTTTGGAAGACAATTAATTTGTATTGGAAATGCATAGGGTGCCCTTTTTGGCACATGAAACAGTTCTCATGAGTATTTGATATGTAGAAATAAGCTTTGCTCTGATTGGTAGTGTGTTCTATCTCTGTGTTGATGCATGGGTATTGGAAAAGTTACCACCAGGGACCGGTGTCAACTCAAAAATGTTTCCTAGTCCAAACCACGACTCAACACTGCATTCTGATTCATATTGCGTTTGTGAATTATGAATTGAGCAGCAAAATCCACACGTGTTTACCCATGTAAAGGCGGCCATTTTGCCACTAATAGGCTCAGTCACATGACCAAACCCAGAAAACAGGTGAGTAATGATTGGCGTTTACCTAAGCCCATAGGCACTGTGATGTCATTTTTAGTCGACAGCAAGTGGTAAAATGGCTCCTCGTCGAGATGGCAATGAATGGGTAAACTTTGTTGCTTAATTCATACAGTATTTGACAAATGCATATTAACCAGAATCCTGCGTTTGGACTAGTGGGGGCGCAGAGAACATATTATTATCAATAATTTTTTTTATTTGACTTGCCCTTTGCGTCGATTACATTGCAGTTTAGGAGAATTCTTTCAAACAATGCATGTTGAAATCTATACATGTGGTACCTCTGAGTCAAACCAGGTAATATGATAAATTCTGCAACCATGGTACCAGATGAGGACCATGCAGAACCACTACGATGAATAATGCAGATAAATTCATTCGGCTTCCATTAATAGTTTGTAATTTATTAATTCATAGGTCTTGCTATGAGGTTGTGTGATGTGTGTTGATATAAATATGCTATCCAACCTCTTTCAGCTCGAATTACAACACTTTTTGGGCAACAATCGTTCTGGAAATGTAGTGGAAGACAAAAAAAAAAAAAAAAAAAGTGAAAGATTTACCCTGAGATAAGAGTCCCAACTATGATATCTGATTCACACAACACACTCTCACATTGAGGAAAAAAAAACATTTTGAAGTACTCCAAGCACACATGCAAACATTGTGACTTAATAGTTTTGACAAATTCATTAAAATCTAATTCTTGCAAACGGTAATTCTTGCAGGCTTACATTCTTATCCATCATCCACAGGTGCAGCTCATCAGTGCAGGAGAAAAATGAATTACAGTGACAATGCTACTTATGTGGTAAAATTGTAAAATGTATGGTACTGGGGATTACGTTAAAGTATGTAAAAAGAACCTCAAGCACAGACAGCTGAAAGGAGGTCAGAGTGGAAATGAAAATCAGTGCAGCTACTTTTTAGCATTACAAAAAGCTAATCATAGATCTGCTGGGATTTGCATGTATGCTCTGCATTTACAAACACATATCAGAGCTGCCAACTGTTACGAATTGTTCATATTTTGTTACGAAAATTACTGAATGCTTAACACAGATTTTTGTGGATATTTTCAAAACTCCTGAGATACATAATTGCATAATTGGTTGAAAACGAGCAAAAGGGAGTTAATAGATAATTGGCCCTTCATGGTTGAAGCCAGAGTGCAGCCATCTTACGTTGTCACCATTACTGACAACCTGGTATTATTTCACTGAAAATGCTGTTATCAATTCGTCCTTTACGCCTGGATTTGTTCTTTTAGAGCCTCGAAAAGAACACATTTTACCGTTTGCATCGACTAATCAGAGTATATTATCTCAGTATGATGAATGGTGAATTGCTTTCATTTCATTGTTGATAGTTCTGACATTGTGATGCAGATGAATCTTGGCGATACACCATCTAAGAAAACATTTAATGTTTCATTATTACCGATAAAATGTGCATGTAGCGCTTCTCCCAGACCGCACCCTGTGATGTTTTCACTGCAGAGACGCCACAGAGAAATCAATGTATTCAATTTTGGGAGCTTAGCGAGTGGCAACGTAAGATGGCCACCGGTGGCCTCACTTCTCGCGAGGGTGAGTAAGCAGCATTGTTAGTTTATTCAGATATTCATCAATATCCCCTGCCCACACGTATACTCTAACATGTTTAGTTTTGATGACGCATAGGTCAGATACATGTGACCTGTCCATTCAGACTGAGGTTGCCCTGCAAAAAATCTCGGACCACATATGAAACTGACCCAGGTCGGATTTGAAAAAAATCGACTGAGCCATTCCGACTGTCATAAAAATTATCACAATTCACATTTGCCTGCTGTCTGATTGGAGCCGAATGGAATATTTACTCAGTTCAGGCGATCAGTAAAAACATACAAGGTGTGCCAGTTTTAAATGTCAATCATGACTCTGTCATCTTTTGTCGGTCTGCAGCCCAGCCGTCTCCGTCCCTCAAGCAAAAACATCAGCACCGCCGCACAGCGCTGTCCAAGTGACCTGTGCCGCCTGACGTCGTCACAGTGTCTGAAATAAGTAGTTGTTGCTATGGCGATGGCGTGAAACTGCTCTGTCAGCAGCCACACCTCCCACAAGAGTGTTAGGGCGTTCATAACCACCATCGCTGTGACCCAGAACTCACCACCCAGGAACGTGAGCCACGATGACAAGTTGCTGGCAGACATCTTGTTGTACAGGTAACTTGTTGCCGTGGCAACAAACAACAAGTGCCATATCACCATGGAGAGGATGAAGAAGAGGAAGAGGCGGTGGTTCGCCTGTCCGATGCACCGGTTTAGGAAAAGGCAATGGTGGTCGTAGTCTTGAACGCACACATCACAGAGCTTGCAGTGCTTCGTGTAGTCGGGCTGGAACAACTGTGGGTGAAAAAAGACCCAGGAGGTGAGAAACCTAACCGTGCAGAATAATCGATGTTTTATGAAGACGCAGCATTTGTTTTCGTCCCTTCTAAAAAAAAAAAAAAAAAAAAAAGAGATCAAGCTGTTTATTGATCAAGAGATTCATGTCACTGTGACCCGTGTCCAGTATCACGTCTTACCTCACAGTAGGGGCAGAACCTACGAGCGCTTTGATTCTTCTCTGCTAGGTCAGCGATGCAGGAGAAGCGAGGATCTGCATCTGCTCTGTCCAGTGTCCCGGGGTCCTGAGTCAGAACCTTACAGAACAAACTGAGGACAATGCAGAAGTGGACCGTTGACACCTGGACCAGGGCACCGCTCAGGTGCACACATTTCATTTGGTTAAGGATAAGATTTTAGGTATGTACTTAACAAGCTATGACTGTTGCATAAGTCGCAAATAATTGTACAAAACGAAAGCCAAACATCCCGGTGGTCGGACAATTCAGAATATCTTTCTCAAGTGCAACCAGTTCATCCAAAATATGCAAAATTGCTGTGGAAGGATATTAGGTGTTATTTTCCCATAAAAGCAAAACAGGGAATGGAGCAAGGCGGCTATGAGGCTTCCCAGATAAATGGGGTTGGGCAACCTGGAAGGAAGATAGCTGCTATCTGAACAAAGACATACAACAACGCCATAAAATGTGTCGGAAACATCTCACATACTTGAAACATGCCACAACGTTTGTCAAACCTTTGATATATGGCCATACGGTGGTATTGAGTGAAGATGCTTCTGGCCAGCCAAGGGAAGAGTAAGCCACAAAGGAGACCACCATAAGCTCCCAACATGGATGCGACCACAAGAATAGTGGCTCCACTCAGGCTTGGAAAAAACAGTGTCCAGTAGTACAAAACTGACAGTCACGGACATAAACAAAACACACACAAATTAAAGTATGCACATGTCTTTATAATTGTGTCCGTTGTGCAAAACCTGATTCAACCACAACAGATTACCCACCAAGAGATTCTTTGGGCTTGTGGTGGATTGGCACATTCATGTACTGGCTCAGTAGTTTGGTGAGTTGTTGATGCCTGCAAAATAAAAGAACAGTAAATAAATGTATGCATTGAACCCTTGCCTATTCGTGGTTTGCTATTCACAAAACTCAATTTATTTTTATTAGAAAAAAAACCCCACACAACAATTTGCAATGTGGTTTGCTATTCACAAAACTCAATTTATTTTTATCAGAAAAAAAACCCCCCACACAACTATTTGCAATTTTTTGTGCTATTTGTTTGTTGCTATGACAAACTGGGATCCTACAAGATGGTACCAAAGCCCTGGCTAAATAGAAAAGAAGTAATTGGTGTCAAGGAACTGTGTTAAAATGATGAATCTCGCCTGAGATACAAGCTTTGCATGTCGGGGAAGAGGTTGAGCCTGGGTTGTTCGTGCAAGTTTTTGTATAAGTGCACTTCCGGTTCATTCATCAATCCATCCATTTTTAACACCGAGATTTTACTTCATATTCACCGAAATGTTTTCCCCCGTTTGCTGAGGTCCAGTGGTGTGAGGCCGCTGAGGTTTTTCTCATGAAGGATCCCGCACCCAGCCTTTTGCAGCAAGGTCCAGCACACCTCCACGCATCCTTGCTCGGCTGCTACATGAAGTGACGTCGCCCCCTTTTGGTCAACAACATCCACTGCACAACGCTGAAACACAGACACACAACAAAGCAAATGGCCCATAGTACAATTTGGAGTCCAACAAAAATAAATGCGAGACATGAGCACATCTCTTGGGTGTTCAACAAATGTCACGGTAAAACTATACACTCAAGACATACGTTGTCCAAACATGCCTGTCCTATGAGATTAACACCCATGATCTCGCCACTGTGAAGGGCACGTACAAACCATTATCCCAAATTTTTCTGGGTGAGTACACTCAGGATCGTTTTGTTTTTTTTTCTTCTTTCAATCTTTTAACAAACGTTGTATGAGCTGATGTTGTATGTAAGTAAATATTGTATGTAAGGGTTTTAGATTGTGAATGTATAGATAATTTTAGTATGGCTAATTAAACCACTGGATGCAGAAGAAAGTCTTTTGTATGTAAGACTAATACTGTCTGTAATGATTACTCATTATGGTCTGCATGTATTACCTGGTCTCTGAGGAGGTATTGGACCATATCTGTGTTGCCCGTAGATGCCGCCATGTGAAGTGGGGTCACCCGGTGTATGTCTGTGTCTGTGAAACGGAACATTTCTGTCTCCCACAAATAGTGCACTGCAACACTGGGAAAGGTAACTCATGGTCAATGCATACCGGAACTATTAAAATGTGACCATTTTGACTTTTGTTTTTTACTTCACCCACATGCTGCCGCCTGTCACGGCATGATGAAGAGAGGATTTTCCTTGATGATCCAAGACACGCAGGTCAGCTCCATGCTTGATCATTTTATGAATGATGTCAATGTTTCCTTGCCTGTCAGGAATCATCCATGATGAGATCACCAGTTTCTCAAAAGAAAATAACTAAAGATCAGAGACCTGGAGTACCTGCACGCAAAATGAAAAGCTGATTGTCCTGCATTGCAGGTCAGGTTGGGGTCTGCACCGTTGCTGAGGAAAAGGTCAACCAGGGAACAGTTACCATGAAGGGCAGCGTAGTGCAGTGGAGTGAAACCACCCCAGCCTGGATGAAGGTAAAAAGCAAACAGATTTGATAATTGTATATAAGTTATCATACTGATGCTTTATGGATGGATATTTAATTTCTTTACATATCTTGAATGAAAAACCATGCTTAAACGTTTGACCGGTAGTGTGTATTACATTGGTTTTAATGTACTTAATAAACTAAAGGTGAATAATATCAAAGTAGCGCCCCATCCTTTCATTTGTATGTGGCCTTACAAATATATGTGGAAAAGTCCGGACACCCCTTGTCGAGATTCACATTATCTCAGAGGACAGTGGTGTGTGATGGCACATTAATGAATTCATGAATACCAACAAGAGCTCTTCTGTAAGGACTTGGGCTTAGGAACTGTAGGGTGACAGAACGAGTCCTGTGGTGGGCAAAGGGAGAAAGAGAATATTGGATGTGTGAGCGCCGCTAGTCTGTTTCCTGACTACTGTAGAGATGGCCTTGAGCAAAACACCGAATCCAGCTCAAGTAATGTACCAGTGTTTGGGCGTCCCTTAGCTTCTCTGACATTTCTCGTTCTTCATTACTACATGTGGTGTACAAGAGAGTAGGCATATTATTATAATTACTGTTAAACAAAATAGACCATTTAAAATTGTTTTCATTGATAATTAAAGATCGGAAATGTTTATTTGACCGTTTTATTACGGTAAATTCTGATTACAAAAATAACTTTCACAAAAATACACCCACACATTGACGGTAAAAAACAAACAAACAAAAAAACCCAAATGAAGTTGATTTTTGTGCTTACCTTTGTGTATGAGAACTGAGCGGTCATTTTCAATTATGACTTTGCACTGCTCAAGGTTTCCTGTCTGTACAAAGTCAAAAATGCCTTCGTTACTCAGGGAACATGAATGCATCGGCTGCATCCTTGTGAATTCACATGTGCAGATCTAACTTCTTATTCTATTTTTCCAGAAGAAGTTACATTAAATTAGCATCTTCGACAAATTGCGACTTCATAATTTTCATGCAAAATGAAATTACGGGAAAAAAAACAATTTGCGACGACCAAACGCCCGTTGAACCGAATGTTGCCTGACACTGACGGACCACGCCCCAGGCACCTCATTGGTTGAAGCCTCCCACATGACTAGAGATGTAGGAAATGAAACGCAGAAAAGGGACACGAAACTAAATGTTTTACATACGTACTTTCGTTTGTTAGTTCATAGAGGAATATATATGTCTCATATAATTAGATACCATATGTATGTTGTTTTTAGTCATTTAATTATTTCGGCCCAAGTTTGTGCTCCAGTAGGTGGCGGTAATGCTCCATACAACAGCAAGCCGCCCTTTATTTCATCCAAAAGAAAAAGAAGCAGGCGAGCCACACAACAGGCTATTTAATGAGTAAGTTCCTGCCGTACATCAGCGGGCTATGGTGTTAGTCTCTTTGTTGTTGGCTCAAAGAGAAAACTACTGTAATTTAATTTAATTGTATTAATTCCTCAAAATTAAAAAAATATATACTCTGGATCTCCTTCTTAATAAATGTGCATGTGATAAATATTTGTTTTGTATGTTTTGAATTTAACTCGTCATCTCATCTCAAATTAACACCCAACGACATTTAACGACCAACGATTTAAAAGAGTTCTTGTCCAAGCTCCAAACATTTTTTTGTGTTTGTACCTCTTTTCTCGGCTGAGAGCGGTAGCGGTAATAGTATTTCCCCACTAGATGACACTGTTTGTTAGTTTTGGTAGTCGTCAGAGGGAGCACATAACTCCTACTCTGGCATCCCTTGACTGGCTCCCGATACATACATTTTAGAGTTCTTTTTAAGATCCTATTACTGTATTTGTTTTTAAAGCCTTAAATGGCCTCCCCTCACCTTACCTCTCTGAGCTCCTCCGCCCCTACGCAACTGCCTGAGGTTTTAGGTCTGCACTATAAGAGGCACCGAGAACTAAGCGCAGGCCCAGAGGATGTCTTCGTTATTAATGTATTGTTTTATTGTTTGTTGTTACATTTTTTACATATGGTCCGTATACACATCTGAACTTTTTTCATTTTTACTCCATCTATAAATGACTCATCCCATCTGTTCGTTATAAAAATCACAAAGGTTGGCCATCCCGATTCTAATGCCTATGCTAAAGTATCAATGGTAGATTTTTTTTCTTGTAATTCTATCCATCTCTTTTCTCTGCTGTTTATCCCCACAAGGGTTGCAGGTGAGCTGGAGGCTTACCATACTGACTTTGGACGAGAAGCGATGTATACCCTGGGCTGGTTGCCAGCCACTCGCAGGGCACAAATAGACAAACAACCATTCACAATCACACCTGAGGACAATTTAGAGTCTTCAACTAACCTAAGAAGTATATTTTTGGAATATGGGAGGAAGCCGGAGTACCAGGAGAAAACCCATGCAAGCATGGGGAGAACATGCAAACTTCTCACAGTAATCCCCCTTCCAAATTATTTTTAATTGAAAGCCATGCTTGCTGACTCATGGGTTGCTGTCCTAGTATGTCATATCATGGCAGCCATATCTGACAGTTCTATAAAAAGCTCAAGCGACTACTGAGCTTTGGTAGGAGGGCCTCATCCAATTGGCCCAACAATACTTTTTCACTTCTGCTTCTCTTGGGTAGTCAGGAGGCACATGACCTGATCCAGCCGATGTGAGTTATTCCGCATGTTCAGAGTTCATTCTACTTGTTGCAGATTAGTGAGGGCGGGCGGTTTTATAGGAGGGTTTACACAGCACAGCACAGCACAGTGCAGTAATCGTCATGTTTTAGCAGGTCTCTGCTCGCCTTTGCTATTGACATGGAAACGTGGACTGAGTAGGAACTCAGCTGGACTCCCACAAGGTACTTTCACAGAAACCCGTTAAGAGCGTGGAACGTCACACATGGCTCTTACACAAACAAAGGTAAGAACTTGTGTATTCTGTTGGGTATGTTTCAATGAAATGCTGAGAAGAAAGTGTGCATGCATTCTCCACTCACGCGTACACTGAAACAGAAGCTTCTCACATGAGTGATGTTAAATAACCAGCGTATTCGTGAGGAATGTGAGCTGTCTTTATGTACAGTCCACCACTTCCTTCTTTGAAAATCACATGCCTGTTAATAGAAAACGCTCATCTGGCTGGTGCTGTATAATCAAACCTTTCGAGTTGCTTCTCAATTTTTGCCATAAATCTCAATCCAAGAACTTCCTTCAATTTATTTGAAAGCTCACAGCAACAATTGCCAAATTGATGTGTACTTTAAATAAACATTAGATTTCATTGTTCCAGGCAACAGAGGCCTCACTCACGGGGCGCACAAGGTTTGTTTATTGTAACTGAAAATACATTTGCAAACTGAGTTCAGAACATCCTGAAAGATGACAATGTAAAAATGAGTGCATCTCTGTTAGTAATGTTTATCTCAATTTTCAGTAAGACCACCATTTTTAGAGGATTTTGGGGTTTTATAATCAATGTTGATATTTTTGGTTGTTTTGTGTTTCCGGTTATTGTGAATGGAATTCAGCCAGTCACAAATTTTATGCAGATCTGGGTGAATGACCCGTTTAGATGGCACATGACTGCTAGTGCTCTTCTGCGTGAGGACTTTTTTTGCAGCACTTTTTTTTTTTTTTTATTGGGAAATGATGCGTGTCAAGTGAATTTGATTAAGTGAAGAGAATTTTTCAAAATGAGATGATGGGAGAGGCTGTGGATTTCTGAATGTTGTCTTTGTGTCCCCCTACAGGATGCCGGCATAAAAATGGAGAGGGTCAATAAAGAAACAGGCGAGCTGAGTGCTTCAGGGGAGTTATCAGTCTCTGTGGAGTTGGATGTGAAGAAAGCGGTAGTCCCCTGTCTGGACCCTCTGCCCTCTGACTTGCTACGTGAACAACTGCACCAACTTCAGATTTACCAATGCTTAAGTTTGGACCACGAAGGTGACCCGGCCCCCTTGGAAGAGAGGCATGAGCATCTAGTCAGAGTCCTGCCTCTCTACATACAGGTATTAACCAGACTTACCAGCACATATTCTCTTTCCCTCACCTGTCAGCCAAGTGCTTGTCAATATGCAAAGTGCGTGAAGGAATTATTACTGTATAGAAACATTTCAAGTCTTAGTGGTGTTAAGAAGCATTGTTTCAAAGGTTAAAGTAACAAGAGAGGATTATCGAATCAATCCAGATAACCAAAGGTGACAGTCAGATGTTTGGCCTTTAGCCGATCCCATCACTCAGCCCTTAAACAACATGTTTGGTTTCCGTGTATTTATCTTTACCGTTTGCTCTATTGTCACACGGAATTCAAGTGTGTAGAGATGTATACAGTGGAACATTCGCGGTCAACCAAAATTTACTGAAAAGATTATGAGTTCAAACCATCATGTGATGATGTTGGTTAAAAAAAAAGTGTGATGATTCGGCTTTATTGCAACCAAGGAAAGTATCTGGCTGCTCAGTACAACATGACCAAACGATCCAGCCATCCATTTCCGTACCAATAATCCACAGTTGGGTCACCTGGGTGGTGGGGTGCTCTCAGTACTGAATGCCAGCCAATTGCAGGGGAGTGATTCATCCCTGTGTACACTTTAGAGTGTGACTTCAACACCTAAACTCCTGTGAGGACGAGGATCTAACCCTCATCCACTGTGTCACCATGACCAAAGTAGTTCACTCAAATCATATCGGCCGACCTCCACGATAATAATTCTTACTGTGCAACGAGACTTGTTTGAGCCTTTCCTTAGAATCATTCGGTGTTAGTTTGCATGTGGGTGTGCCTTATTTAAGCCTCATGACCAACATTCAGGGATTTACATGACCCCAACCTTGGTGAAGTACGATATCCTCTTACGGAAGTGAAAGTGAACACAGTGCCAGCTGGTTACTTATAATGTAACACCTCTGAACAAAGCACCATTGTTTGGTTGCATCTTGTTAAGTGAGGGCAGTGAAAACTTCCATCTAATTTATTACCCATTCCCTGCGACCCTTGTGAGGATAAGCGGATCAGAAAATGGATTGATGGATGGATAATTATCTGTTGTGTGAGTGCGTGTCCTCAATGTTATAATAGGCTCTCTTCTCTTGATGGTAGGTATGTGAAGAAGGTGGAGGGCTTGAGGGGTTGGACTTAAAGGGACTTGCAGTGCTCACCTCTGACGCCTTCATCCTGAACATCCACAACAGGCTTGCAGAAAGGCCTGCAGGTAAATCCCTCTCACATCCCCCCCTACCCCCTCCCACACATGGCCCATCATAATTAAGTGGTGATTTGGGGACTTTCTACCTCACGCTTTACTTCTGCTTTTTTATCTGTGCAGTCGTTCCTATCCACCAAGCGTTATGGCCTTTTACTATTAAATTTCACCCATGCTCCTCAGAGTGGAACATCATTGCACATACTTGCTATATTGTTACATTATGTATAGGCAAAAATGATAAAAAGTGGGCCTAATGTTAACAACATTCTTATTTCCTGCATGGTGGACAGAAGAAGGCCAAGAAGATTTGGGCTGATAATACTACATGTAAATCTAGAGTTTCATATACTGTCGTATTGGGTGCATCACAAGTCCTCACTATATCATTATACATCACTGTCAATAATATTATACCATTATACAAACGGTTGCTTCCATTTTCAGCCCACCATGTGCCCAAACACTTTTGTCCACGTCCTGCAGGTTCTTGTTCGATTGTCAATGTGACCACTGTCTCTGTTTCAGTGTCCCCCCCCACAGCCCCCATTGCTTTTGGAATGAATGCTGTTTTGAATGACTGCTTAACAATGCGCCGTTATATTCGTCTTGCTCACACAACAATAGGTGCTACTGTGCTGCTGTTTTTTGAACATTCCAGTTATTAATATTATTATTATTATTATTATTATTGTTATTATTGTAATTTTATTTGATGTTTTCCACTAAAATAATATGCTTGCATGCTATTCATCTGGCGCATTGAATTGTTTGTGTTCCCAGAGAATGCTCGTGAGGAAGTTGTGCGATTCTTTCAGATGGAACACGAGCACACAAGCTGTCCAGGATGGCTGCTGCTAAAATCTCTGTTGCTATTAACTGCTGACAGCTCAGTGAG